GACAGACATGAAGAGATTGAGATTGTTAACAGCTTCAGCTTGCTTGTCTTCACAATCAATTCTTGGTACCAATAGCCAGGAAATCAAAAGATGAATTGCATTAGGACAATCTGCTATCAGGGATCTCTCCAGAGTACTGAGAAGCAATGATGTCAGTCTAGAGACTAAAGTGTACCTGATCTAGGCCATGGTCTTTGCAATTACTTGCTATACATCAGAAAGCTAGACAAAGACTATGGATGATAGGCAAATTAATGCCTTTGAATTGTGGTCCTGGAGAAGAGTGTTGAATATACCATGGACTGCTAAGAGAACAAACAGGTTCATCTTGGAGAGGGTTAAACCATGCTGCTCCTTGGAGGCAAGGATTCTGAAATTCTGTCTGACATACTTTGGACGTGTTACAAGAAGGGACCAGTCCTTGGAGAGGGACATCCTTGGGAGGGTGGGGAACAGTACAAGAGAGAAAGACCCTGAATGAGGTGGATTGATTCAGTGACTGTGCACAGGATAGAGCAGGGGTCAGAGCTGTTGTACTACACATGGTTGCTATGGGACACAAGTGACTTGAGAGCACTTAACAACACAACTATTCACATGTTCAGTATATTGTACCATTGTTGTTGTTAGGTGCCACTGAGTCCTCTACAACTCACAGAGATCCCATGAACAATGGATATGGATCTGGCCCTGGCCATATCTTGTGCCATCCTCCGCATCTCTGATAATGTGCACCCATTCTTCCAGTCACTGTCAGTCCATTTGGCTAAGGATTTTTCTCTCTTACTCTGAACCTCTACCTTTCCAAGCATGATTTCCTTTTTTAATGGCTGGCCCCCCTTGACAATATGCCCATAGTATGTGAGATGAAGCTTCACCATTCTTGCCTCTAAGAAGTACCTTGGTGCTATGTCCTCTTCTATCATCCATTAAGAAAGCAAGCGGTCATTACAAGAACTAAGATTAGGAAGAAAGGCCTGGAAATCTATCCAGGAAAATGAGTCAATGTAAATCCTATGGATTACAACATTGTCAGGTTTACTATTGGAGGGTAAGGTCCCTTAGATTCAAAGGCACTCAGCTACACAATGACTTCTACAGAGGAATCAAACTTACTAACAATCAAGAAGATAGATAGTAGAGGAATGGACACTATTGTTTTTCTTTTAAAAAGAGCTATCATCAGTCATAGCCAATTCAACAGAAGCTAATATAACATCTTTTTGTGAAGATATTCACCAAAAACTCCCTCCTTTATTTCCTAACAATATCATTGTGGTAAAGTGAAGAATCATGCAAACAAACTCAAAACACCAGACATGACACATTCTGTTAAAAGTTTAATAAAAGCATCAAACTTACACTGCAAATGAGGACTAACAGATGTGAGGCAGACTTGTAAAACAAAGTTCAATTATTTTCACATTTCAGGTAAAATGAAAAGTGCAAAATTATAAAATGCTAACATAATTGAGAAAAGCACTGACAGCTCTTTTAGCAATTTACCTTATAAAGAGTTTTTTTAAAGTGCTACAGTTTGAGGCATTGCATTTCAAAGTTTAACGCAAATCTAATTTCTAAATAATCCCACACAAAGCGGGGACTTTTTTCCCCCTCATGTTAAAAACTCTTTGGTTACCCAAGATCCACTGTTCTCAGGTGAATTCAACCCGTGGCACCCTATGGGACAGAGCAGAATTTCCCTAAGTCTTCCCAAGGCTGTCAGTCTTTACAGAAGCAAACCACCACATCTTTCTCCAGAAGAGTGGCGAGTGGATTCAAACTGCTGACCACCTAGGTAGCAACTGGGTGCTTTGGCCATTGTACCACCAGAGTCACCCATTATTCATTTCATAATGTGGGAAATGCAAGTAAACACTGAAAAGTAATAACTTGCTAATGCTAAATCATCAGCGCAATGTGAGAGCACATGAACTCATACAGTAGAAACATCACATGTCCATGATGTGCTATAATCAGACACACACTGTGTCATCTAAAATCTACCCCCCCTTCTTTAATCACTCTTGGTTCCTCTGCATTTAGTCTTGTAGTTTTTATTTTATGAATAACAAAAAATCTTCAAGGCACCTAAAGAATAGCCCGTGTTTCCTTTATCCTATGTTGAAAATGTTTAACTATCAAAAGAAAAAGAGCAGCACAATAGATAATTTAAAAAATGAAACAAACCAGCAAAAACCAAAACCTGGGTCAAAGAGTCAGTCAGGGTTTTGCTTAGCTAACATAGTTATTTTCTAATTTTTAAAATTAGGCAGAAATTATTTCTATTCCTTAAACATGCAGCAGAAGACAGCCTAGGTATGTGCTAAATTAAAGGGAAATCTGAGCCTTGTACTTGAAACTTAACTGCGTGCACTAAGGTCTGACTACCCAGAGTGTGGCTGACTTGTGGAAAACGGCAAAGTCAGAGGTGTGGAGTGACGAACTGCATGGATGTTGCAAGTCCTCTTGTCTTGTCTGTAGACCTGGACAGATGGTAATCCACAGAAGGCTTGCTAACAGATGTGCTCCACTTCAAAGCTGTGTCTCTCCCCTTTCACTTATTTCTCAAAGTCCCGACCCCTCCAGCTCTTTTATTCCCTTTTCTCCTGTAGCTGGAACAGCATTCATTGTTTCCCTCCTTCAGGAAATTAAGAAAGAGGCCTTTTATTTGCTTAGGAGCCTCTCGTGGCATAATCTGCAAGAGTCACGCTTCTGACTCAGACAGTGCCTCTCTGGTGATTCAAAACTACCAGCAGCTTCGTGGGAGAAAGACGGGCAATCTCCTCCCGTGCAATTTACATCTTCTCCAAACCTGCTGGTGGGTCAGCTAGGAGTCAGTTTGGATTCGGTGGTCTAAGTTTTATTACATTTTTTAAATTTACTTTTGTCTCCAGCTGTCCCAGCTGCATCCAAACTTGAACATGGGTCATAATTGTAAGTTTTCTTAAAATGGTTGTTTTAAATGATGAACAGAAGTCTAGTAATTTAAAAAAAAAAAAATACAAAACTTGCTTAAATTGACATTAACAGGTAACATACACAGATGTTTGTTATCGTTAAGCAATAAAATTATAGTCTACATTTAGTCAAATAGGGTTGATTTCCTCCTTAAGTGCATTTCTTAATAACGAGCCTGGTGGTGCAACAGTTAAGTGCTTGGCTGCTAACTGAAATGTTGGTGATTAAAACCCTGTCCATGCTCCTGAGTAGAAAGATGTAGAGATGAGGTTTTGTAAAGATTACAGCCAAGAAAACTCTGTTAGATACTTCTATACTGTCACATGGTGGCCGCTAGGAACCTGAATCAACTTGATGGCACTTAATAATACTTCTTAACAGTCATTCCCATGTGGACGAGGCACCTGCTAAAAGCAAGGCACTGTGATGGGGGGTGGGGGAGGACCCACACAAGTCCTCACCCAAGCTGCTCAGTCTGGGATGGAGATGGACACACTTACAACAACGTGAGGCAGAAGTGTTGCCTGCTATGGAATTGAGTGGTAGCAGTAGAGAGACATGGTCCAGGAAACGCTCCAGTCAAAATATGGGAGGTTTGAAATCCAGCAATGGTACCTTTGAACTATGCGTTTCCACCTCTCTAAGTTTCAGTTTCAACAGCATCCTCTTCATTGGGTTTCTGTAAAAATGTTAACTATGTCTAGAAGAAAAGCACTGGTTATGGTGCCAGCATGAGGGAGAAGTCAAAACAAAGTTGCTCATTTTACTACCTTGATTAACTTCTACTGCAGGAAAGGTCTACTCATTCTTTGTAGAATGGTTTTCAGAAGCAGCATCCCTGTTGGGGCAAATATTGGCACACTGAGCCAGACAAATCTTCACTATATAGGCCTCCTCTGATGCTGTGGGACACTTAGTGCCCTGGCTCCCAGAGCAGCCCAGATGTACTCCCTTCACTGTGATTAAAAAAAAAAAATCCAACGCAATTCCAAAAGTTCTCCTTGGGGCCAAGGGGTTAGAGAAGTACTCTTCTAAAGGCATCATTTTTATTACAAAATAATTTAGTTCCTTTAATAAACAGAATTACTTTCTGTCTTCAAGCCCATTAAAGGATGAGACTTGTTAAGTCTAACGGCATGAAGAATGAAAAATAAATGTTCAGTATCATTTGAAAGAACCCTTCCCCAATGAATTCCTGTATCAAAATTTATGACTTTTAAACCATTCAGGGTTCAAGTCAAAACTCATAGCTTCACAAGTCAAGTCAGCAGAAAGCAATTTTGGCAGAAAGCTACTTTTCAAACAAACCTGCTGTCAGTGTAATTGATATAGAGGACTGCTGTGTAACTGTAACTAATATCCTTATGGGAGGTTTTTACTCTTTAATTTATTCTCTCTTTAACATAGTGGACAAAGGTCTGCTTTACTCCATGTTCACAGAAACTAAAATCTGAAACAAAAAAAGAAACAATTACAAGTCTGAAAACCAGCATAGGTACCTGGGCTGAGAAAAGCTCTATTCACCATAATCTAAACCCTTATCTCTCTCTCTGACCATGTATTCAGACTTGAACACACTTGACGCCATGAAAGGTCATACAACATTCCATTCTGAATTTTCTCTCTGGAACCAAACAGTGTTTTGGCAATGCCAGAAAAGGCACAAGGCGTATTACCTTTTTTGGTGCTGAGAGGTAGAGAGAAGGCAAGTTATATCCCTTGCATTTTACGGATGGGATGACTGAGGCACAGAGAAATGAGAAGAAATGCTTGTGGATAGAAGCCATTGGGTCTAAAAGCCAGATCTCTCGCTTCCCAAAAAGGTACTCTGGTCCTTTTGCCCAAAATTACAGACACGGAAATGGCCAGTGTGTCCAGCTGAGGGTTACTTAGAAACGAAACTCTTGTTGAGTGTTACTCTTTCCAATCTTTCTTTTCTTTGAGTCTAACAGAATCCACCATATTGTTACTGTTAATCACAAAGGAAAATATGTTCAGGACATATATACCTGCTTACGATCTCTCTCTGGCGACTTTCTTCATCTTTTTGAAGCGATGATATTGAATGGATGTGGTGCTAAAGTCAGGCCAAATCTTCCTGTGAGGACAGGCTTCTTAGAATCCTTTGGTAAGGTGAATGTGAAACTCTGCATTAGGCTCACAAACATCAGGAATAATTCCATCTTTGCCAGCTGCTCTCCCATACACACCCGCTTCCCTACAAAGGAGTTCATGAAAAAAGGTTAGATTCTATCCATTATATCAGAAAGAACAAATTTACACAAAATAGCTAAATATGAAAGTTTAAATGAATATATAGCTTGAAAAGAAAATTGTTACATATATCACAAAGCTTCCCATAATACATGCTCATCTTAAGAATTCTTAAATATCAATTACATTTTGACTTCTACTCATATAAACCTAGCCTATTCCCAGACAGGAACAAGAGACCAGATCCACTGTGGCAGGCTACTCTGTCTTCTCAATGACTTTTCTTTACTTTTACTTAGAAGGTTAAGAGGGTAAAAAGTCAGATGTGGATCTCTGGAACCTTCCTTTTCTACAAAAAGAATCCCACATATTTTGACCTGATATTGTTGTTTTTTTTTCTTGTTATTATGTGCTATTGAATTGGAACTGACTGACAGTGGACTCTCTTGGGGGTTTCCAGAGGCTGTAAATAGTAGGGGAGGAGACTGCTCATCTTTCTCCCTTGGAACAGCTGGTGGATTCAAATGGCTTACTTCTGTTTGGCAATAAAACCCTTTACCCACTAGGCTACCAGAGAGACCCACCTTGTCACCCACCAGCCCAGCAGAAAGACAGAGGATGCTCTTCACCCCAGTGGTTGTCCGGACACTAACAATCACCTGCAAATCAAACTACTCTGAAAAGAAGATTTCTGGAAACATTACAAATTTTAAAACTAACAGCTTTCACTTTGTTTTTTAAAATCTGGAGTGAACACGTTGAATATGCATTATCTCCATTTACCTCAGCTTAGCTTTCCAAGAAAGAATCAATCTGAAGACAAACACACACAAATTCCTGTAGTGCTACTTGTCTACTGATATAATTTAAAAGACGTTTAACTGACCGATCCCAAAAGGGATGAAGGTTTCTTTTTTACAAACTTGTCCTTGATCGTCCAGAAATCGGTCAGGGGAGAACTCATTTGGTTTCTCCCAGATGGCTGGGTCTCTATGTACTGACCACAGGTTGGGCACAATCATGGAGCCTTTGGGGATGGTGTACCCTTGGAGCACTGAAACAGACAAACAGGAAAACACAGGCTCGATCAACAGGATTTAACTAACAGCCCTCCCTGCACCAAACTCAAACCTACTGCTGTGAAGCTGATTCCAATGCACAGTGCAATTCTCCCTAACCACCATTATCTCAAAAAGAAGGAAAGAAGGCAGGGAGGATATCTAGTTTACATACTTAGCATCTTAACTCATCTTGAGACTAAATACTGAGGTTCTTGAGGACAGGGGCAGGCCTTTATTGATTGGCATCATCCAATATACTTCCATTTTCCAGTCTGAGCCACAGCAGAGAAAGGGCCTGGAGTAGTGGCACTAAGGTTGATTACACTCCTCCATTGGGGTAAGAAGGGCCCGCTGAGAACTCTCTTTCCCTCACAGAGAAAACAGCAGGTCTCACCCTGCCCTGCTCCCTGTGGTACCCTAGAGTTGTACCCCTCTCCTACTGGCCAAAGGAGAATTCTCTCCGTCCTTCTCTCCACCTGATGGAGGTCACAGCTGCCCGTTCACCTGTATCCTAATGGCTGGAGGGTACCATCCTCCTTGGTTCGTTCTTAGAACCATTTTGGTGTTATCTCCAGCGACACTGTCAGGGGATGGCATGTGCACTCCACAAACATCCCCCTCCCACCAAATGATGCCACTCAGTGCATGGGTGATGTTGAATTAAATCAGCCCCCAAAACATTACAATGTGAATGTGGAAACAAATAATAAAGCATTCCAGAAGAACTATCCCTATGAGTTCAATTTCCTAGGACTTTGGATGAGCTTTCATAATAGTTTACAGAATATTTTGTGTCCACAAAAATTATGTCAACTGAAGTAAATTAAAGAGAGGTTCGGGGAAGTCAAAACTAGCTTTTTGTAGGCAGCAAGCCAGTGTGAGCCTTAAATGGTACCCAAGAAATACTGGACACGTGTATTTAATTGGCACCCAAGCAACTTATATGATCTAAAGCCTTAAGATTGTTTAACAATGTGATGAGCTGTCTCTAGAGGCGGCAGACTCTGGTACTCAGAGATGCTCAAAGGGAGTATGGGTGGCTACCTGCATACCGAAGACATGATCAGACAGTTTTGCAGACAACAGAAATATGTGGCCACAGAATCACATGGGGTCTTGTAATGACACAATAAATTATCTCACAGCAAGGGGGACATTTATAAAACATACAGTATTATATAGTTTAGGGATCAGAGTGGATAGACTCAAGATCAAATTTGGATTCCTGTGGATATGATTTAACCTTCTTTGGCTTTAATTTGATGGTCTGTTCCACAATCTACACCTGGTTTAGGTTTCACTGCTGACAGTGAACGTCTCCAGCGAGTCCTTGCACAGATGTAATCGATCTGATTCCTGTGCATCCTGTCAGGTGACATCTATGTGTATAGTCTGCATTTGTTTCTTATAAAAAAGTTATTTGGTATGAAGAAATAATTGCTTGTGCAGAATTCTGTCATTCTATCCCCAGCCTCATTTCTGTCACAAAGTCTGTATTTTCCGACTACTTTCTGATTCCCAACTTTCGCATTCTAGTTACTCATTATTATTAACACATCTTGGTTATGTTCGATCAATTTCTAACAGCAACTGTTATTAGAGATCATCTATTTCCTCCTCTTTGGCTCTGATGTTGGTGCATACATTTGAATGATAGTGGTATTAACAGGTCTTTCTTGTATACAAATGGGTATTATTCTGTCACTCACAATATTGTTTTTCAAGATGAATCTAGAAATGGCCTTTGTAACTATGAAAGTAACTGTTTTCTTCTTATCTTTTCACCTCTAGCATAGTAAATCATGATCATTGAATTCAAAATGTCCCATGCCAATCCATCTCATTTCATTAACGTTGTTGTTGTTATGTGCTGTTGAGTTGCTTGAGACTCATAGCGACCCTATGTACAACAGCCCTAAATTCTGCTCTGTCCTGTGCCAATCGCACTATCTCCGTACACCCATCCCGATTACCCCAGTCACTGAATCAATCCACCTCATAGAGGGCCTTCCCCTCCTGTACTGTCCCTCCATCCTACCAAGCATCTCCAAGGACCAGTCCCTCCTTACAACATGTCCAAAGTATGTTAGACAAAACCTCAGAATCCTTGCCTCCAAGAAGCTGCCCGGTTTAACCCTTTCGAGGATGAATCTGTTTGTTTTCCTAGCAGATGGACAGAGTACCCTCAATATTCTTCTCCAGCACCACAGCTCAAAGGCATCAATTCTCCTTCTATCCTCCCTAGTCACTGTCCAACTCTCTGATGCATAACAAGTGATTGCAAAGACCATGGCCTGTATCAG